TACTTTGCTTTTCATGATCGGGGGATGTCCCCTGGATTGGACGGCGTTTGCGCTTCCAGATTGTTACTCCGTGAACTTCAATATACGTCTCAACGTCGTAACATCCTTCCTGACGTCGAGACCTTGTCGATCCTTCAACCTCAACTGGACTCTGACACGATGAATGAGATCATCGCTTTCGCTGCTTCGAGGAGCCCTCATCGCCTGTCTTCTGCGCCAGTGGATGACAGAGTACGTCCACTGCAGAAATTGCACGTTCAATATTGGCAGAAACTGCACTTTCCATATTGGCGAAGGAGGGAGAAACGCTCACCGTTTATTCCGGAGGCTGAGATACGGCGAGCGATAGAGGACTTGGATCGGCAAGGGGTAAAGGTGGTGATTGAGGGACCGCGATGGTGGAGTGAAACAGAAGGATGAAAGCGGCCCCTCCAAAGAACGACGGCTTCTACATGTGAAATTTTACATTTTATTCACTGAAAAGGACTATTTGCAGATTATGGAGCTTCCTTGACTCGGTTGTAAACAAGAGAGAGGGTGGTACCCTCGGCCATGGCCCGATACACTGTGACTTTCGATAATCCTGCATCTCTTGGCGTTCACACTACTTTCTCCCCCACAAAACTTGTGGGGTTGTATTTCTACGTTATTAATCTTCAGGATTGGATCACAAAGTAATTTATGATTACCGAGTAGCTTTGATTTTTAGGTTGGTCGGCAAGTGAGAATTTTCTTCTTGACCAAATATTCACTTGAAATCCAATATTTTGTTGAAAAAATTGGAGGGCACGGAACATTGGAGATTTTTACCTCACCCATCGGATTCTCGGACATGTTCCACTGTGCCCGAAAGCCTCCATAAAACATGATCTAAAGCGACTCACCAAATACGCACGGAGTCTGAAAATTGAGATTCCTTAGTGCCGCTTTTTGGGTTCCAAGCGCGTCCTCTCGGGGGTTGTTACCGTAGCATGGCGGCTCGGGGAAACCGGAGACCGAATTTCTTTTCCCACACACAAGGCCGCGCGCGATTTCTTTGGAATTCTTACGTTTACACCGTGCACCGTCGCCACTCAGTACTCAGCAACCACTATCGCTTATCAAGACTTCGACCTGCGACTCTCTCTATCCGTGAAGACCACAAAAAACTAGAAACAAACTATGCCCCAGAAACCTAGTCGGCAGATGCATGGTCCACCAAAGAAGGCCGGCATGAAATTTACCCCAGAAGAAGACACGCTGTTACGGCGGTTCGTGGAGAGCATGACAACCGAGCAGGGCATAGTTCAAGTGAAATCGAGTCTCTTTCAGATACTAGTCGAAAATGTACGTGTTTCTTGCCCCCGCATTCGGGGTATTCACAAAAAAAAAACACATCCCTCTTACTAGAAATCTGGAAAATGGCCATGGGGGAAAACACGTTCCGCAGATGGATGGGCACGAAGGTATCGGAGGTTGAAGAATCCCCAGGATCGGAAGGTTACACGTTCCACGTCGCCGGAGGCATCTCCGCCCCTTCCTGCCATAACTAAACCAGAACCAGAACCCGCCGTGCCCGCCGATAAGGATAGTAAACGGGGAGTCAAACGTCGAAACTCTCATAATCTCGGGAAGCGGAAACGCGGAAAGGTTGAAGATGTTCACGCTGTTACCACTTCTCAATCCAGATCTCCCACTCCATCTGCATCAACGCATTTCTTAGGACCTCGATTGACCCTAGACCAAATTATAGCTAACGCTGTGAAAGAGGAATTAAATCTCGAGAAGCAGAAACGCGAAAGGGTTGAAGATGTTGCTTCTCAACCCACTCCATTTGCATCAGCGTGTGTCTTGGGACTCCAAATGTCCCTAGGCCAAGCTATAGCTAACGCTGTGAAAGGGGACTTACCAGATGGGATCTCTTGGTGTGAAACTTCGTCTGATGAGGAGGACGAGGACGAGGACGAGTCTATCCCGCAATCTGCACCGCAATCTACACATTCAGAGTCATCTTTTTCCCCACCTTCGCTCATTGAAACGCACATCAAAGGAACTTTTCCGCCAGAGCGGGGGTGGAACCGTGCACCGGAAGTATGTCACCGAAATAGGCGCGACGCAGCGCTCCTAATGAAATCGGTATGGATTCGATTCTATTTTATTTTATGGTTTTGTGCTGCCCTCAACAAAAGACTGATAAAGCGTAATCGTTTTCTCTTTCTTATTTGGAATGGCAGGCGACGGAATTCGTCGATTCTTCATCGGGTCTGTCAACTGAACGCATTACTGAAGGCGTAGGTGTAGGAACCCAAGCCGAGTCGGAGGCGAGGACAGATGCTAGTGATCATCCGAGGTGGCAACGGAAGAAAGGTGGTTTCTTTTCGCGGAAGATGGAGCTCGGGGAAGGAAGGAACTGGAGATGAATGATGCTGGGTGTTTCTTTTGAGCAGCCCAGAGGTTCGGTGTTGTATTTTTTTTTATTGTGTTTTTTTATGGACCACTCACTTGTACACTTGTACATTCTTTTTTTTTTTTTTTTCGGTTTACGACTTGGAGTCTGGAGAATATGGACGTACTGGTACTGACGCTGTTGACATTGTTGTGCTACTCAAATTGTCCGAGTCCGTGATCGACTAAGTTTGTACTGCTATCACTATATAGAGAGAGCAAATGTACAGCGATACAATAGACAAGTAAACGTAATATCATTCGAATAAATGTACGAAGGAATATGTCTATGAGAGCACTATGTAGATGGAGGTTGTAGGTACACTAGTGTCCCGGGAAAGGGTCGAGAAACAATTATGAATAGAAGACATCTGGTCAAAAAATTTTTTAATAAAAAAAAACCATTTCCGCCTCGCCTCGTCTTGAAGTGGAAGTTCGGGGTATATTCAAGTCGTCGTGCATCGCGAAAGTAAGTAGGTGAGGTAGGAATTGTGGTGGCGGAATGCCTGAAGAGCCAGCCGAGGCAAGTGAATGGCAGCGGCGGCGACGAGAGCGGTGCTGGGGACAACGATGGTGGTAGCGGAAAATCCGATGAAGAGGTTTGAGATGTTCAGCGCGAACCTAATCGTAGCTAAATCAGCAATAGAACAGCCGGAAAAGAGAAACATAAAACGTACAGAACGCTAACAAAACTCCGTCAGATACAAAAACCCGTTACAATCCTAGATCCAACCAGCATCTGAGAATAAAGGTCCTACTTCTCATCCGAACAACCGTTTCTTTCGTCAACCCAAGGTATCGATTAACAGTCGAGAAGGAGAATGGTTATCTCTCCTCGACCTTCATGACGATTCCAACGACAATGAAAGGGTATGCGGAGTAATGTTTGATCGAAAACAAGTCCCGTGAGGGGGTCGAGATCAAAGCGTGCTGGGATCTTAATCACCGGTACATCTTGTCCCAAGCGAGGCGTCAAACTCCCATCTGAACTCGTAACAAAGGTTGCCCATTCAATAACAGAGACCCAAGAGACTTGTTTCTGGTGTCGTAGTTAATCCCTCGGGAATTAACCGATCCATCTTGGCATCATGTTGTATGGGTAGTGGGGATGAGGCATCGGTAAAAGAAGAAGATGGGCCCTCTGAAAAGCCCACAAAAGCTCTGAATCAACGCGCAGTGACGATGAAGAGGCATCAGAACGTAGGGTCGAATGAAAGGAAGGGAATCGCTCGCAAGCTTCCCGTGAAGACCGGTATCCTTGTGATCATAACGAGAGAGCTCCCAACTACCCCCACATCGCCATACAGATAAACGTTCAAATTTCCTTCCGGAGATTCGACCAGGGGCATCGACAGGAACGAACGATTAAAACCGGCGGCTGTGAGTATCAGTTATAAGACAGCTGGTATTGTGCCCGCCCCTCGAAAGGATGCGTCTGAGGTGTTCTGATAAACGGAACTGCTCGAGATCTGCGCCTGGCGGTGAGGAAAGAGAGAAATAAGAGCCACTGTGAAGTTCCCCGATCAGGGTAAGTCGAGCCCAACGTCTTGGGCCGCATCATCTCCATGCATTGAGTAACCCGGTGAAAGGTAGAATGTTGAAAATGACATAGCACTGAGGAATACTATTGTGGGTAGTCGTAGGTGGTCGTGGGTGTATGGAGGTGCGTGCGTGCGATGAAAGGGGAATGTTCGCCATCAACGGATTGCTAGTAGCCCTCCTAAGATCTCGCCGCTAGCTCGTGCATCTGAGTTTTCGTTACATGAGTTTCCATCTTCCTCTCCCCACCCCGACGCAAAACACGACCTGGGTTCGTCAACGTGGCTTGACAGCAGTTCCTTTGTCCCACAAGCCGACAGCCTGAAGAAGACACATTAGGCTGAGCCGTCATGATGGAAGAAGAGGACGATAAACATCACCTTGCAGCACTACGTCTTCTATTCCAAGCCGTCATCACTTGAGAAGTCGGCTCCACGTTCCAGCATCTGCTCTTCAGGGATAGAGTGGATCTCAAAGCCCACGCGAAAAAGGAAAAAGTCAAATCTTCCACCATCTCTGAATTATTTCAGCTGTGCCGTATGGTCCACAAGTTATCCGTAGATTGAGCCTACAAGGTCGCTCATGGTCCATGATGGTCTGCTGGTGAATTGAACTACAATTTAGGGCTCTAGGAAGATGACCACCACGTACCAGACAGACCGAGATCTACAGTTTCGTGACGTTTTCCTTGCCCTAGAGAGATCAAAACCTCAGGTTCACTGCCCAGCCAAGAAAGGATCGCTTGGAGGTTGAGAACTGCTATGATGCAACGTTGTGGAGCTTGCACGTCGAGAATCAGGGAGTTGAGCTGCATGTGGGATAGCTATTAGCTTGGAGACGGCCGAGATCGCGGCGGTTGCAAAGGACGTTATGGTAAAGTCGGTTTCGGGCAGCGAAAGAGCCGAGCCTGCTGTCCACTCTGTTCACTCATCAATGGGTTGAATGGCCAGTGTGGACAAAAAATAAGCCAGTTGCAATGAGAACAAATTTAAGAAATGTCAGATGCTAAAAAAAATTCAGAACTGCAACATTATAAGTGGCCAACGTGGGGATCGAACCCAAGACCTTCGCGTTAATACCGAATATTCAGCAATATTAGCACGACGCTCTAACCAACTGAGCTAGTCGGCCATCGATCTTTTTTAGGTACATGACTTACAAGTCGTGTGCCGATCAATAAATTTGAGTTTCTTCAAGAAATTATGTTACAACACGGGTACTATGTTACTGTCCCAAGAAAAACATAAAAATACACGACGATGAATAATATACATATGACAACGCCCTCGTCCCAAGAAAAATATCACACCACCCAGCTCGAATTCTTCAAATTCTCCTCACCAAGTCCCCCTCAAGAACGTATCTCCCACGATCCCCAGACGCAACGACGGCTTTTGCAACTTCAGCCGTGTCAAATTCCTCATGCTTGTCGGGTGGCATCGCAGCGTTGAGGTATGTGAGCAGAGAAGAAATGGTCATATCGTCCGTCGTCTCATAAGTCGTTTGGAAGAGGTAGGTGATGGAGGAGAAGACAAAATGTTTCCTAGAGAGAAAAAATCCACAGTTGAGATCTTCAAAAAAAAAAGAGTTTTACGAAACCTCACCTTCCACCAGGAGAATCCAAATCAGCCAACTGAGGCGGAACAAACCCAGAAACTGCAGGAACCGCTACCTGCGCGGCTCCCCTCCCTCCACCATAAGTCCTCCTCGAAGCTGAATGAGGAGGAGGAGACGGTAGTGGCTGTCGAGCAAGATACGGATGTCCGGAGCTCCTCCTAGAAGGCGCCGGTCTCTTCGTAGATTTCCCGCCCTTGACCTGACTCCCCTTCTCTCCATTCATCATCTCCACATCTCCGTCTCCATCAACCACAGTCCTCTCACCCTCACCCTCAAGCCCGTCAGGATCACCCTCACCGTCAACATGACGTCCCACATCACCCTCAACGCCCATACCAAAACGCAAACCCCTCTCATCGTCATTCTCCAACTTGGGTAGACCACGACGGTAAAAACCAACATGCGGAAGATGCTTCATTCCACGCTGCTTCGTTGATGAATGTCCATGAATGGAAGACGTCAATCCATACCCATTCTCCGACAAGTACGCATACTCTGTTTCATGACGACGCCCACGGAGAGTCGAACCTTCCGACTTTTTACTCAAAAAATCGTCAAAGTCAGACACGACAGGGAGGTCAGGAATAGTCCCACTATCCGTAGACGCCGCAGATGATGCCACACTGCCTTGATCATCGTCCTCGTCGTAGTGTCCGGGTTCACCGTATGGTGGCGACAGTGGACCAGAAGTCGAGTAACCACGGAGGTGAGGATGAGGAGGCGCATGAGTAGAGTGTCGAATGTGAGGTGGAGGATACGGGGGATGATAAGATTCATGACGACGTGAAGATGAAGAGGCCGTTCGCATGGCTTCTCTACGTCTTTTAAAGTCTGCGATTTCTTCCGCTTTTTGGGCTCTCCGTTCGCTGAAGCGAGGGGGGAAAAAATTTAAATCCCTCGAACAAAAAAAAAATAAAAAAAATACACTCACTATCTAACCAAACACTTCCCCTTATGCTGCAACCATGGATAAGCACAATAACTGCTATCCTGTCTAAGTTGTACCCATTTCTGACATAAAGAACAGAACACCTGTAAAAGTCAGCAAAGGATCATCATCACAAACAAAGGGGGGGGGGGGGGGGGGCATGGACTTACCCGATTAGGCTCAACCTCTTCAATCAAAGGATCAGCTCTCAACGTCGCCGCTCGCTGTTCAGCATTTCTTCTTCTCGACTCTTGAGCGGCAGTCGACAATCCTCCAGAACCAGGGGGACCTCGGGCGGAAGACGAAGAACACGCTGTCGCGGTAGAAACACGAGGACTCAAACTCAAACTCCCCTTTCTCCCCTCTCTATCTCTGTTTTCCTCGTGTGCCTCAACCGACATCTTGACATCATCATCATCCCCGGGTGAACGTCTCGAAACCGAATTAGACTTGTCCCCTCCAATAATAACAGTGGGTTCGGAATGATGTCTAGCATGCTTGTCTCCATTCTCCGGTGGTGTCGGAGAGCGGCTCAGAGACGCATGAGAGTGAGGTGACTGTTGACCCGAGTGCGAATGGGAGAATCGCTTGTGGGCGTTATTATCCCTGTCGCTCTTCTCGTGCCTCTCACCTCCAGGAAACGCCCTAGTTGCGTCATCGAGGGGCGACCGAGTCATAACAGGCACAGTTCCTGAGGAGGTAACACCAACGCTGGCGGCGCCAGAAACAGATGCTCTTCGTCTGAGGAAAGCTTCTTTCGCGAGCTGAATTTCTTTAGGTGGCGGTACTGGATGTGCAAGAGAAGGATGGGAAACAGACGGTGAGATGCTACTCGTCGGGCGTGGAGGAAACGGTGGAGGTTGGGACCTAGAAATATGGGGTGATGTTGAAACATGAGGTGGGTGTTGATTTGATGGACGGGCGTGAGAGGAGGAGGGGGCCGCTTGAGGTAAAAGTTCCGGCGATAACGTATGTCTTAAAAAAAAACACAAAAAAGAACGCGATGTTATACAACAATCCAAGAAAAAAAAAAAACAAAAAAAGGACGAAACAATACTCACTGTCCGCCGGTGTAGGCATTCCGACCCGTCGCCTTCTGGCAGCTAGATTTGTGTGACAGCCACTTTTGCACCGCCTGAAGGTGATCTTCAGGATTGATTGCAATCCACTGATCACATTCGGAACATAGAACACGTTCGGCATCGAACTTGCGCACGTCAGGGTCCTTGGAAAAAAGGGAGTTCCGTTCTTCCAGGGCGTAGGTATTCTTAGATGATCTGAGAAGTCGAAGACATGAAGTTCATTAACGAACAGATCAGGAAAAAAGAGATAACCGGACAACGCACATTTTCTTGGCTAAACAACTCTTTCGATGAGCGTCCCACGGAATCGAACAATACGTCGAGTTCGGTCTCAGCCTAATCCACTTGTCACAGCTCGCACAGAGGACTCTGTACGCCTCAAACTGAGCAACGTATGGATCACTCCTCAAGTAGTTTATTCGCTCTTCCTCGGTCCGCTTGGCTCGGCGACGTTTGGGAGGGGGATGAGCGAGAGCGGAGGCAGTCGATTCGGGGGTATATATAACCGGTTCTCTCTCACCACCGTTGGAAGAGACATGAGTCATTCGTGCATTGTGGGGATGTTGCTGATGATGAGGGTGGGGAGGTTGAGAGTGAGAGTGGGGGTGCACAAGGTGATGATAAGCCCCGTGTGGCGGGGGAGATTGCGAGGTCAAATGTTTACGGGTATCCGACGGGTGATGATCGTGATGGCGACTACTACGAACAGAAGTAGCAATCGGAATAGAATGAGACCCCGGCGCATTGCTGCGACTCTGGTGTGGATGATGGTGAACTTGATGATTTCCTTTAGGCAGTAACATAGATCCGGCCGCGGAGGTGCTGTTCAAGCGAGGAATGTCAGTCAAGATTGTCAGAAATAGAAAAACGAAAGGAGTTTCAGGATGAGGGCAAAGCTTCACAAAACTTTGATTGATTTTCCACCAAACCGAATACCGTTTAACACGTGAAAAAGACATGACGTTTGGATTCAGGGAAGAAGGAAAGAAAATAAAACAAAAAACACATCGATGGGAACGTGGAAAGAGAGGTGTTCTATGCTGTCTCGCAGTGGGAAAGGGATCAGGCAGAGGTGAGGTTTTGGGGACAAACAGCTCTGTTTGGTCGCCATAGCTCTCTCGCGCCGGTCCCCGACTATAGCATCTCCAAAACGGGGGGATAAATGGAAGATAGAGCAGAACAAAAAAAAAAACAATGGAAGACAGACATAGAACATGATAATCAGAAATATTGAAAGCAACTTACCAGGTGAGCTTATGTTTATTCCAGTGGTCGAGACTGAGGTGGCCCGTTTCTGGATCTCTGAACGGAACATGTGTCCCGCAGGCGTCACACTTGATACGACCACTCTCATATTCTGAACCAGAATAAGGAAGGGTTTCTTTACCTCCAGGAGTCGAGGAACCTTTTACGATTTTCGTAGAAAGCGATGGGAGGCGAAGATCGATTCGAGATGAGGGCGGGGGCGATAGCGACCCACCATCTGGTCCAGTGACTTCTCCTTCAACCCCATCATCCTCATTGACCTCATCACCTTCGGCATCCACATCACCATCCGCGTCGTCATCTTCAGTGATTTTGACCTGTACACGATGTTGTTGTTGTTCCTCGGTCTCATCGGGATGAGATTTTCGTTTCCGCGGATTGAGATTCCTGTAACGCAGAGTAGCGTGAGCAACGAGTCGATGGGAGAGGGAAAGAAGACAGAAGAACACGAGCAAAAAAGAAAAAAAGAAGCGCAAGCCAATGGATGAGTCGGCTAAGATAGCCTAAATGACAACGACAAGTAAAGGGTAGGTTTAGTCGCCGGTTGAGTACCTATTGAGCTCGAGTAAACTCGTTGGCAAGTCAAACGCGAACCCAGTTTAACGTCGACGTGACGGTGTGGGGGAAGGCCCCAACTATGTAGGATTTGGCTCTAGTCCCTCCGCAACCATACGTTTCATTCCCGCCACCGACAAACATCCCGACTAGATGACATTCCGATTCTATGATCCTGATCAAGTTAAACCGATGACTTACTCGCTCAGAGTTAGTGTCGTTGGTTTCGTGGTAAGACTAGAAGGAGGTGGGGGTGATTCTCGTTCTACTTTAGGCTCTTGCTGAGGTACCGAACTGGTCTTCATTGGTGTCTTTGGTGACGGTACAGGGGAACCAGGAACGTTATGTGCAGATCTATGAGGGGTAAAATCAAGACCATCGAGAGACATGAGAGACGAATTATGAACATACTGGGTCTTCTCCGCTGATACCTCCATGACACACAGAGCTCGATGAGCGACTCCAAGGACTGCCAGAGTGGGTAGGATCAAGAATGAGGGAGGAAGGAAAGAAGGAAATGATGACAGGTGGCGCAAATGAAGAGGCCATGATATATAAGAGTCAGCGTAGTAGCGCTTTCGGTGGTATACTCTCAGTGTTCCGTTTCCAAAGCAGGGTAACACGACAAACACAAGTCTGGCATGCGGACCTAAAAAAAAATTAATTCAATACTTAGCAGACAT